AAGCTTGTTTTAACATTACAAAAAAATATAATCTCATTATTGGTCAGTCATTTTCTGCTCAATACCAGATAGAGCTGATAAAACTGGACATTTGGAACGAAAGAAAGATATACGAAATTAATAAAGTACAAACATGTAGTCTCAATTCTTATATACACCATTAAGTTATAAGGTTATAAACAATTTAAAAACATGCTGAAAGAGTTAAGGTAATTTTGCATTTCCAGTGTTAAACTGTTGCTGTGCTTCAGTAGGTTTCATGGTTACATAATCTCTTGCAGAAAGTTTTTCTTCACAGCAGTTTATGCCACAAAAAAGACCATTGTAACAACTTAACCAATGTATGACTGGAGACAGCAATATAATTAATGTGTAAGTTAGTGAAACAGGATTTATAAATAGGTTAAAACTATAAAAATACAATTCTATTGTCTCAACTGTATGTGAGTAACATTCAAAGTTTCTGTTATATATTAGTTATATTTGTGGCTTTTGTCATTTTGCACTTGCTAGACATTTAGTGAAAACAAAAGACTTTTGTTATATAAGAAAACTGTATGAGGTACAAACAAGTAATGCAAATGAAATTTCAGGTGTATCATTATTTCAAGATTAACAAATCATATGTACAAAAAATGGAAGAAAAAGGAATTGTGCAGTCAAATAAAATATCAAAACAAAGCACCAATTAGTCTGAAGTTGTAAATTTTTTGTGCTATTTCAGGAGTTAAGTGAAATTCCCAAAATAGAAAGAAATTTTTGAAAATAGGGAGTTTTCCCATTTTTGTATCATATGAATTCACAATGTGAAAACACTGTTTAACAAATAAAATGCTTATTTAGGGGTTAATTATTTCCAAAAATGTGTGTTTGTGTGTGTATATATACATGCAATTTGAGGCATTGAAAATTATGATTGTGTGTTTTTAAATTTAACAATTCTTTTTTCAGTCTAAGAAAACCATTTTTTTTTCTTTTGAAAATTTGAATGAACAAAATGATACAAAACCATTTCTATATTCCCTGTGTTTTTCTTTATTTATTTTCTTTCTATATTTTTAACTTACGCTTCAAATGCTAATCATGATATGTAGTCTTAGCAGGATTTTTGCAACCATGTGCCAGTGCATTGCTTTTTCCTATGTATTTATAAATTGAGCAGTGCCGAAATACCTTGGTATTTTGCACGTACCAACTGAAGTCATTCGGATTCAAAATTTTGTGAAACTTTTTTGACTTTATATTTTCTAATTAGTTATCATACTTTCATTTCTAGCCAGATTTTTCCAAAGGTTTTATGCCTAACCAATTTGCTAGAAATGCTCTGAGTGAATGATGAATACCATATTGTAGAGCAATATATAAGTTTGGTATGACTGCTTGCTTAAAATGCAATTTGAACTGATACCACTTTTTTGGTACATACCTTGCTTAATTAATGATTACCTTCTTGACAAACAGCCCACTCAAAGTTACAATAATCCGTGTGCCAAAAAGGACAATCGACACCTATGCTAATTATCATTGATATATTTCCATAATTCACTGCTAATGATTAATTCAATTGTGTCTATCAGTACAATATAGTCATTTTTTTTTTCCTTGTTTTGATTGCCATATGTCTAGAGTTTAGAAACCAAGTGTGTGAAGGTGTCTTGAATTTTGCAACAGGGAGAAAATAAAAAGCAGCAAAGTTGAAATTTTGAAGATGCAGTTTAAAGGCAATTCTCCTGGTCATGTGAGACCCCTCTTATTCAATTGAAAATGAATGGCACTTAAACTTACATTATAATAGAATGCATTTTTCTTATTAATTTTTTCTTGCAAAGAAAGACTGAATGAAGCAGGAAATAAGAAAATGCATTATTACTGGGGTGTGGCACATTTTTATGTGGATACATAATTACTAAAATAACACATCATTCATACAAATTATTTTTTTCAGATGTGCTGTGGAAGCCTTTAAGACATTCCTCCTCTGTGTCAAGCAAGACCATGTGCTGTTGGATATGACAGAAGGAGGGTACTGGGCTGCAATGGAAGATGAAGTCAAGTATTCTGATGCCATTGCTGCTTTAGCTCGGTAACTAATATGTCTGAAGTTTATAGCTTTAGGATTTGTTTGTTTATGTTTTTTCTTTACAAATTTATGAGAAGAATAATTAAACAATGTTTTTTTGTTTCTGTGTTTATGTTTGAAATGTACATCAAGGTTATTATTTACTTGTTTAACATGAATGTATATAGAACTCCAGAGTATGATGTACCTTGGAAATATGTACTTATGCATGTAAAGTCCTGAAGAGTAATTTGGTTTCCATTGTATCTTTATAGTTATGCAACTTAATTAAAACTTCAGAAACTAAGGAGATCATATAAACCATAACTTTCTAATGTTACCAGATGTGGTTATTAACTTGTGTTTCAGAACACTCTGTGTACATGCTCCATCACAAATACCAAATATTGTGGCAAATCTTAACCAGTATCTGAACAGCAACCATGAGAGTCAGCGTGTGACAACCATAGCTCTGTTTGCTGAGTTCCTCATGCAGAATTACCCCGGAGATGACCCACTTACTGAACCTCTTATCAACAGCTGTCTTGGCAGTCTTGTGGATTCTTCCCATCTGGTGAGAAAACTTTGTATCCGTGGTCTGGGACGCATGAAGAACAGGGACAAAGACCAGGTGATGATATTCTCAATTCTAAGTTGAAGCATAGTATATTCTTAAAGTTAAATATTTGTGTAAATGATCTAATTTTTTAAAAATCTTAATGAGCTTATTGATAAACTGTAATATTTTACTTTGTCTGTGCAGTGAATATGATATTCTTACACTTTTATGAAAAAATATAAATGTTGCAATTTTGAAAGCTGACCCAATAGTTCAAGGGATTAATGCTGAAAAAGGCTTGTACAGTTTTAAATGTGAAGTTAAGTAATACTGAATTAAAATGTGATAATCTTCAATCACATGTAGATGTTACTTAACCTTGTTTTTTTTCAAATCTAATGATAACAATATTCATGAATCTGTAGGTTAAAGTGCTAAAACCATAATTATTTTTTAATTCACATGAAGCTTAGCTATAGATTCATTTGCAAGAAAAAAAAATTTACAATTGGAGAGAAAAATTGTGGTTATGATAAATTATAATTTGTGAGTCTAATGCAGATATTCCAACATCAGTGAAGTCTGAAAACATGGTGTGTTAATATATATTAGTACAAATAAAGTTTGAGTTATATTAGAAAAAGATGAAGCTTAGAGATGGAATGAACAGTAAAATAAACACAAATAAACCATAAGTTAAATTACAGTATAAAATCAGAGCATTAATTTTATTGTGAAATGAATGGTAAGGCAAATACATTTATGCAGAAACTGGAAATACAATATTAATATTTGAGTTGCATTTTAGAATACATAAAATATAGATGGTTGTTTGTCATTATACTAATTAAAACAGCTTTAGTTTTAAGAATGTCTGTAGCTTACTTAGATCAAGGTGCCCTTTTAGAATTAGAATCTTTAATGAGAGGTTCAAAGTCTGTATATCCAGTGGTAATGATGGTGAGGGTGTTAATTAGTGGAATTAATGTTACAATGTCTGGTTTATTTGTTTTTCAAATTACCAAGTGGCAGAATTGTACTGGTTAAAGGCTTAATACTACTGAGTACTCAGACTCAGATTTTTAAATGGAGTGTAGCTTTTTCAATCACTTTACAATCTGTAGATGAGTATCTGTATATGAAGCATCAATGAAGAAAAGTCAGAAGTCAGTCCTTACATTGACAGAAGTTTTTTTTTTTATTGTCATTCTAGAGATTTATTTTTAATCTCTAAACTTTGAAAATCCACACAACATATTCCAGTAATAGTAAAATAATTGAGGACAGAGCATGATTTGTTATGAGGCTAGAATCACTTGTAAAGGAACTTGTGTGTGATGCTAGTTAGAAAGTCTGTTAGGTAGACATTCTTTCAAGCCTTATGCACCAGGGTATTCTCTTTGTATAGAAGAGTAACTATAACAAAGACCAAAGATACTGTTTGTTAGGGACATGACCACTGCACTTTACAAAATAATGTTACTATCACACAGTGTTGCTATTTTAGTGTCTGAAACTACTGAATACTTGTAACTTGGTTTGATTCAAGCATTTAATTTGTCAGTAATGCGAATTAATTTTTGCTATAACCAAAATACCATTAAATTCATTGTACGGCAAACAGTTAGTATTTTATGTCTTAAATTGCAACTAATATATTAGCAAATTATTTAATTTTCTTTTTAATTTTATACATAAATATATTTTCCTTACTGCTAATTATTGTAATAAAATTAGTTTTTTGATTGGATACTCTAAATTATTTTAGAGTTTATGTGCTTTTCATGCTTGCATTCATTTCTCCTCAATGTTTTTACAAAAATCATTTGTGTCTTACTTCATTTTGTATAAAAATATCATAATTCTCCTTGTTTTCAGAATTTTTTGAAGATAGAATAAGTGTATCTTGTAAATCAAATGTTTTTTCATAACCTGTGTATTCTTCAGTAATATAAAACCAGTGATGTTTCATAATATATTGGCAGTAATTGTATATAATGTTACTAATATTGAAAGTGTAACCATAATGGTCAAATAATCTTTTAGACTCACAGATATTCCACAACTATCTTGTCTGCTATGATGGCAGGAATGGATGACAAGGATGACCCAGACAGTGACATTACTCTGGAGGCTCTTCTGGGTCTGTCCAACATGCTGAGTCAAGTAGGTGAGGAGGAAGTACGTGGGATTCTAGTCAACATTGCCTTGAGGATACGTCCCATGTTTGATAAGGTAATGCACTTCTAAACAATTGATTAACTTTTTTGTTAATACATGTGTATAAGTGTAAATAGTGTTCTCATATAATTTACAACTTTCAACTTATAAGTGAAATACCATTGTTTTATTGCTCACTTTGTTAACAGTTATTATGAATCATGTGGAGTTGCTATTTTTAGTGAAAAGTTCAAGTTAACTCTCACTAATTTCATTAAAATGAAAACTGATTTTAAAATAGTTCAGATCAAAACTATTTAACAGAAGCTGCTCAGGTTATATTAATAGCTGTATTTCATGGACTTTAAAAAGGTTAATTGTGTTGCACTCTTGGTATCACTCAGAGCCAAAGCTCTCAGCTACTTATACTGCCCACCATGAAAAGTAATTGTTGAGTATTTTATTCATGCTAAGAGCCACTCCACAATAACATATGGTTAATCTACATTTTTATTTCTTAAGGTATGTCACATTTTGAAATGTGAATGACAGTGTAATCAATTCTTAACAGTTTAGTGTAGAATATCCTGCTTGCGAAATAAAATTTAGCATCAACATTATTTATGCCTGTTCTCCCATAATTTCAAAAGTGAATGTTGGGCTTTGCCTGCATGTGCAACTTTTCAAGTGCAGCGCAGGAAGCAGCTATCGTAAATGGGAAACAGACACCATGGTTCGCAGTATATATAAGATAGAAATTTGAGTCAGATGTTTTTCAACTCAGAAATTGTTTTTAAACTTAGTTTTATTTTATTTATTTGTTCTTTTTGTGAGCTAGTTTGAAATGTTCTTCTGATTTGAGAATTAGTTATAATTTGTGTTTTAGTAAGTTTCATAGTAATCTTTATTGTCAAACTCAATCAAGTCAGTATTTTATTTTCCTACAGGGGTTTGTTTACAAAACAATTTGGTCTGATAACTGTAATTCATTTTTAAAGGTTTTTTAATATTACGAGCTGTGTAGGAGTTAAGGATTGTGACTTGCAATGCTTTATAAAACTGAACATGTGTTTTGATTAACCAAATTTTAATAACCCATCTGTAGCCACAGTCTCCAGTTCGAGCTGCAGCTTTTAAGTTGTTTGGAAAACTAGCACAGTTTGGTAGTGGACCTTCCAGAGAACCTTTCCTTGAGCAAATCCATAACAATTTTGTAACTTTATTACTACACTTGAATGATGATTGTACCGAAGTCATTAAGGTAATTGATTTTGATCAGTTAAGTAATAACTAACATGGGATTGAATCTTTTATAAAACAAATCTGCATAGAGTTCCAATATGGATGACATTTTGGTTTCTTTGATACAGCCTTCATCAGGTTGGTGCAATAATCTCAACTCTTCCTATCACACAGAAACTTACTAATCAACCCTCATCTGAGACCAAGAAGTAAGTTTTCATGAAAATTGAACGGCCGTCTTTGTTTTAGAAGAGTTTCAGGTAGTATACATTGAAATATGTGATGTAAGCCAGATGGAACTGCACAGACCAATCAGCTTTAACTATAAAAAAACTTCAAATCTGATGACCTTCCTATATAAGAACACAACATAGTGGTAAAAACAGCTGACAGAAGGTCATATGCAGTATATTAAACATCTTGAAGCAACAATACTTAAAAGATAATGTCATACTTCAGTATCTGTAACTCTCTAGCAGGACTGTGTTGTTCTAAGACAAAATGTATAAAAGCAATATGGTCATTGCACACTTCTGATGAAGGCCTCAAAACTGAGACCAAAACATTGTCCCTCTCTAACTTCTATTCAGTCTTTCAATGTCAGTAAAGCATAATTTGCCTAAATTAGCTTTTAGACAAGATTTTTTGCAACTTTTTTAAAATGCTCTAAAATTTCTGAAAAATATTTTTAGAGCATGAAAATTACTTCTGCATTTCACCTCATCATTTGTATTTGTTGTAAATTGTATAAATATAAATTGTAGTCAGAAGCTTGATATGAAATATCTAGCAATAGCTAAGTGGGTATTGTAAAATGTACTTTTTGTTTTTACTGATGTTGAAATTATGGATTCATTCTAAAATTTAAAAGATTTATTTGTACAGTTTGAAACTATAGGCTCTGAAAAATACTATAACAAAATTGGACCCCATAAGCCCTTAAAAAACCAAGAATTAGATATGTTCAAAAGCCATAGAGGTACATTTTGATCCTATAAACTTTTACAAGTAATAGGACACAGGACAATATAGCCTCCTAAGCCCCCCAAAAATAGACTTCTCTGAACATCATCATATAATGTAATTATTCAGGTTTAAAAAAAAAGACAGATCTGTAAATACAGTTTTACAGTATGACCCTTTAGACTAGTAAAAAAAGATATCTGTAAATATTAACTTGCAACATAACCCATTAGAGCATACATGTGTAAACACAAATAATACATTATGCCCGTATAACCCTGTGAAAAAAGATGCCAATCTTACAATATGACCATTAGGTATGTAATTACTTCAGGAAGAAGAATATGTGAACTATTTTAAAGTGCTTGAGATTTGGGTGTCATTTGAAAACCATTACTACTTTTGTATGTGATTCTGTGTGCTAACTTCTTAATCAGAATATACTATATTATAATATATTTCTTAGGCATGTAAAAATACTCTTAAAGAATTGGGACCAATTCTTATGTGTGAGGCCATCAATGAAATGTTTCAAAACCACCTCCTGGAAGATGCTAACCTCCACTATGGAGAATTTATTAATGACCTTTCTAAAACTGTGGTAAGTTGTTTAATATCATTAATACTTTATTAGTGTCTTTCATAAACTTTTTTTGATTATTACTGTTACAGTAGCCTACTTCTTTATCTAAAGAAACGTAAAACCAAATATGTGAACTGTAGTTTTGAGTGAAATAAATTCCAGTCTTATCTAATAATTTTTATACCACATTTTAACATAGCATTTCTTTCATGCTCACAAACTATTATAATCTTAAACTAACAAACAACAATATGATGCTCCTGTTTCTTGCTAACATTAAAACTACTTCCTTCATTGTCAGTAGTTTTTAGTTTAATGACCATTATTGATAATTTTACAAGTTCCTTTGTAACAAGTTTCTGTGAAAGAGGGAAAAGTCAGTCGTATATCACTTACATTGACATACTTTTCACACACACTTCTTTGTAAATGGGCATCAACTTCTGAAACTACATTCATGTACATCAATGGCACAAAAGTTAATTGGGTTTGTAATTGAAAGTTTGATAGGTATGAAGTTAAGGGAAGTTACTGTGATAACAGTTGCTTTGGCTGTCTTTCTTACAAAAACACCCATTGATTTTGAGGTCAACTTTTGGCTCTTAAGTTTTAATCTTCAAAGTCTTGTTTATTATCTTATTAATACCAGGCTTCACCACAATGTCTTCTGTTGTTGTTTTTTTCATAATAATAACTTTAATTTAGCACTTGAGAGTGCTACTTTGGATTGGCTTGAGATGTATGTGCTCTATTGTGCAAGTTTATCTGTGTCCAAGGACAACATTGAAGTCTCTCTTCAATGAAATGTTGTACTTTTTGTTGTACTTTATTTAGTACTCTTGATATACAAACATCCTTCCTAAAAAAGGGAGGGTTTCACATGGCCTGGTGGTAACGGTGCTCATCTCACAATCTGTGGATAGTGGGTTTGAATCTCTGTCACTGAACATGCTCGCCCTTTCAACCATGGGAGCGTTATATGGTATATGGTGACAGTCAATCCCACTATTTGTTGGTTAAAGAGTAGCCCAAGAGTTGGTGGTGGGTAGTGTTGACTTTAGTTGCCTTTTGTCTTGTCTTAGTCTATCACTGCTAGCTCAGATAGCCTTCATATAGCTTTGCTCAAAATTTAAAACAAACTAAACCTAAAAAATGGTTGTGATATATTTTTCCTGGCACAGGTCTGTCCTTGATCATATTACACCATTAAAATCATTGTAAAATTGCTGTGAACCAGATATACAAACTGTAAACGTGTCACCCATTACAAAATGACATGCCTGTCATGGCATGCCTCTGTATTAACATAGGCAAAACATTCTAATAAAATGTGAGTAACTCTCTGTGATCAAACCTCCTCTGCTTACAAAATATAACTCATGATCTTCATTCTGTATTCTCTGGTAACAAACTGATGTTTGACGGCCAATATACTACCTTCTGTGATGATGATGGACTACTACTTTGATGGTTATGATCCTGCAATATCTACTAACAAACTACCAATTTGCTGGTTATTATTTTCCAATATATACTAATCAACTACCAATCTGATGATTATAATCCTACAATATCTACTACCAAATGACCTCTTTGATGGTTATAATCCTGCAATATATACTAACAAACAACCACTTTGATGGTTATGACCCTGCAATATCTACCAACAAAACTACCAACTGCGAAATGGTGTTTTTAAGTGTTTTACACTGACAGAAAAGAAACGTATCATTCTATAGGTATTTGAAGAACTTGTAGCATTCCACCACAATTTAATTCTTCGTATTTTTAGCCAACACTAGGCAGCTGATACATAGTTGAACAGAGTTGTTTAAACATTTGTTTAAAAACAAGTAATGGTAGGTTTCTTTTTTGTGAGTGTAAAAAACTTAAAAACACCATTTTGTTTTTTGATACCTCTCTACTATAAAGGCTTGGTTTGGTCTGAAGTTTCATTCATTGGTCATGTCCAGGGTCACTGATGAGGAGTGGAATTCTCCAAAACTAGTCTGGCCCACTGACATACCCCGAGTGAAAGAATAGGCCATTCCAAGCTTTTATTTGTTGTTAAACGACTCTGTTAAACTACCAATTTGTTTCATGATCCTCCAAAATATATATATGCCAACAAACAACCACTTTGATTATGATCCTACAGTATCTACTAACAGAGTACCAATTTGATGATTATGATCCTACAGTATCTACTAACAGAGTACCAATTTGATGATTATGATCCTGCAATATCTACTGACTAAAAACCACTTTGACGGTTATGATCCCATAATATCTATTAAGAAACTACTGCTTCCAGTTCATAGTAAGTACATTCTCAGCTAATGAACTACCATCTTGATGGTCAGGTGTTGAAACATTGTAAATGATTAAAAGTTAAAAAAAAAGTTTAATTTAAAAGTACTATTTTTAAGATTCCTTTATAATTTTTTTTGTGACGTACTGTTAGAAACCAGCTTTTTGTTATTCTGGAACACAGCAATTGAGATATTGTGAAAACCAACTCATTGATGTTTTCATACACAACAAGCAAATTTATTCACAAAGTCAGCATATCATTATAAACTGATCTATTGATGTTGTGGAACACATTAAGCAATATATTGTAAGAAACCAACCCATTGATATTGTTGTACATATTAAGCAAGTATATTGTTAGAAACCAATTATTAATGTTTTTGTACATACCAAGCGAACACATTAATTGTGATTTTTTTCCCCTACTAAATTGTGTAATTTAGTGAAGAAAAGCAAGAATCCATGAATAATGTAGAGACCTAATATACCCATTGTAAAATAAGAGGCTTTATACCAAATCCTGCAAAAAAAAAGCCAGTGTATTGTTAGAAATCATCCTGATGATATCATAACAAATAGTATATTGTTAGAAACAATCCAATGTGTTGTCTTATAGAGCAAGAAATTATATTGTTAGAAACTAACCTGATGTTTTCATACACAACTAGTGAGCATTTCTGTAAAAACCAACACATTTATTTTATCCCATGCAACAAGTGAACCAATTCATTAATGTTGTCGTACACAACAAGCAAGCATTTCATTAGAAACCAATTCATTAATGTTGTCATTTAGAATAAGCAAACATTTCATTTGAAACCAATTCATTGATGCTGTCATATGCAACAAGCAAGCATTCATTAGAAACCAATTCATTAATGTTGTCATATGCAACAAGCAAGCATTTCATTAGAAACCAATTCATTAATGTTGTCACATAGAATACGCAAACATTTCATTAGAAACCAATTCATTAATGTTGTCATATAGAATATGCAAACATTTCATTAGAAACCAATTCATTAATGTTGTCATATAGAATACTCAAACACTTCATTAGAAACCAATTCATTAATGTTGTCGTGCACAACAGACAAGCATTTCATTAGAAATCAATTTATTAATGTTGTCATATAGAATATGCAAACATTTCATTAGAAACCAATTCATTAATGTTGTCATATAGAATACACAAACACTTAGAAACCAATTCATTAATGTTGTCATGCACAACAGACAAGCCTTTCATTAGAAACCGATTAATTGATGTTGTCATTTAGAATAAGCAAACATTTCATTAGAAACCAATTCATTAATGTTGTCACATAGAATACGCAAACATTTCATTAGAAACCAATTCATTAATGTTGTTATACACAACAGACAAGCATTTCATTAGAAACCAATTCATTAATGTTGTCATATAGAATATGCAAACACTTCATTAGAAACCAATTCATTAATGTTCTCATATGCAACAAGCAAGCATTTCATTAGAAACCAAATCATTAATGTTGTCGTACACAACAGACAAGCATTTCATTAGTAACCAATTAATTAATGTTGGCATTTAGAATAAGCAAACATTTCATTAGAAACCAATTCATTAATGTTGTCATTTAGAATAAGCAAACATTTCATTAGAAACCAATTCATTGATGCTAACAACATGAATGACTTGGTTTCTAATGAAGTGTTTGCATATTCTATATGACAACGTTAATGAATTGGTTTCTAATGAAATGCTTGCTTGTTGCATATGACGTACACAACAGACAAGCATTTCATTAGAAACCAATTCATTAATGTTGTCACATAGAATACGCAAACACTTCATTAGAAACCAATTCATTAATGTTGTCATATAGAATATGCAAAAATTTCATTGGAAACCAATTGATTAATGTTGTCATATAGAATAAGCAAGAATTTTATTAGAAACCAATTCATTGATGTTGTCGTGCACAACAGACAAGCATTTCATTAGAAATCAATTTATTAATGTTGTCATATAGAATAAGCAAACATTTCATTAGAAACCAATTCATTAATGCTGTATGCAAGTAATATACATGTACAACAAATTCAGTTTTCTATTATGTAAATTAACATTATTGCTTAGTTTGTTAAAAAAAACAGTATTAGAATACGTTTCATTTTTGAACCTCAGGTTGCCAATTTCCCAAATAAAGTGAGTTTTTATGCAACAACCTCAGTTTCCTACTTGAAAAGTTCAAGACCTGTAATCCAGTGTAATGCAGCTTTATTACTTGGTAAGTTGTAATCCAGTGTAATCTGAATTTGTTACTTGGTTTAATTCAATACAGTTAAATCTCAATTCATTCTTTATTATGCTGTAATTCAGTTTATAATTTTGATTCATTACTTGTTAAGTTGTAATCCAGGATAAACAGTCAATGTCCAATTAGTTCAAACCTTTGTCCAATAGTTAATCTATTCTACCAGTTATTCTGACCATGAATTAATCTTTGTGTTTTAGTATTGGAAAAACTAATTGTTTATATATTTTTTCATAAAAAATTAAATTCAACACATTATTTTAACTTTTAGTAGCACTATGAACCATAGTTTGGTATTACTCACTAAACTTGTTCCTTAGTTTTTTAAAACTACTATCTTGTGTTTTATTGATTTTATGAACATCATAAGAGGAGAATTGACTAATTTTCTGTTTGTTATTGGTGATTAGGTTGGTTAACACGAGTGCTTTGTAGTACCTTTAATAGATAATTTGTGATAGTCTAATGAAAGGACAAACCAGAAGAAATACTGGATTGTCGAAGTAAAATAATTATCTAAAAGTTCAAATAAAGAATTGAACTATATGCTATGGTCTTTTTCTGTTTATTAACTTACCAAACAGAATGTCAAAAATGGAATTGTCAACTATGCATGAAGTATTTATTTTAGTTATTGATAAGTTTAAAAGGTCCCGAAAAATTACTTAGTAGTCCTAGGAAAACCATGGAAATTTTTCAACCCACAAGTGTGGGGACCATGCTTACTAGATATTATTTTTTCCCTCCGTTTTCTTAGGGCCTGGTTAAATTTGGAAATTATATATAAGCTTGCATATGGAGTATATGTGGTTATACACATTTGACAGTTGTATGTCTGTTTACTTATGGCCTGGTAGAGTCACTATATTGTAAGCTTTGCATATGGAGCACTCATGTCTATACATGTTTGACAGTTGTATGCCTGTTTGCTTATGGTTTGATAAAGTCATGAATTGTAAACTTGGCTTATGTAGAACATGTAAATATTATAAGCTTGGTTATGCAATGGTGAGTCAGTTTCTCAGTAATAAAGGAAAAAAACTAATCTAATCAGTAGATGGTATCTAAACCTAAGTGTAATTTAGCTTAATTTTAACATAATTGCAAAATTATATATTAAAGTAAAATCTGTATTTTTATACAATTATAAGTATTTATTCCAGGACTTAAAAATATTTTTAAATTCTGTGTAATATTCTTAATGTTCTAAGATATCCCTTTATGTAGTAAATATTCTTTAAATTTTTTCAAAAATAATCTCTTGATGGTAGTGTTATAATAAGTTTTATGTTAACTAAAATGGAAAATTCATACCTGACTTATCATTATAGTAGTTAGGAGAAATTAAAAATTATTTTTGCATTTACTATAACATTTGTCTGGTGTAATATTTTTGTGATTATCTCCTTATTATAACTATACTCTAAGTTAATTGCACAGAAAATTTGTAATAAAAATTTCCTTATAATCTTAATGTTCTAAAGTGATATATTTTAGGTTTTCAGTTGTGTTTTAGTTAGTCTTTTATGTAAAAATTATCTACGTATACATGTTATCCAGATGTGTTATTTTAAAAGTCAAGTGTCAGTTTTCATTACATTCTTAGCAGTTTCTCATCCTCCTGATGAACTAACACCAAGTATTTTTTGAATTAGGTATCATTATGGTAAGTATTTTCTACTTAACCTTGTCAACTATTAACCATGGTGGCTGTAACACTTAACCTGATGGATGTAACACACAATAGAGATTAAATATAGGTTAGAACTGAGCTGTTTCTATGGTTAAGTATTCTTTTCTCTTTGTTTAGGGTTTTTATTAGGCAACATCCCTGTGGAAAAACAAGGCACTATATCTAAAGACAGGGTTTGTGGAGGTAAGACCTAATCTGAGGAAACAATATATATAATTATAATTGCCAGTTTACAGCTTAAGACAATAAAAGTAACTTTTATAGAATGAAATTATTCAACAGAATGTAAATAATACAGCTACTAAAGCTTAGCTTTACTATCCAGAATGTAAGTAATACAGTTACTAAAGCTTAGCTTTACTATCCAGAATGTAAGTAATACAGTTACTAAAGCTTAGCTTTACTATCCAGAATGTAAGTAATACAGTTACTAATACTTAGTTTTACTATCCAGAATGTAAGTAATACAGTTACTAATACTTAGCTTTACTATCCAGAATGTGAGTAATACAGTTACTAAAGCTTAGCTTTACTATTCAGAATGTAAGTAATACAGTTACTAAAGTATAGCTTTACTATCCAGAATGTAAGTAATACAGTTACTAAAGCTTAGCTTTACTATCCAGAATGTAAGTAATACAGTTACTAAAGCTTAGCTTTACTATCCAGAATGTAAGTAATACAGTTACTAATACTTAGCTTTACTATCCAGAATGTAAGTAATACAGTTACTAAAGCTTAGCTTTACTATCCAGAAGATAAGTAATACAGTTTATAAAGTTTAGCCTAACTATCCAGAATGTAAGTAATACAGTTTATAAAGTTTAGCCTAACTATCCAGAATGTAAGTAATACAGTTTATAAAGTTTAGCCTAACTATTCAGAATGTAAGTAATACAGTTTATAAAGTTTAGCCTAACTATTCAGAATGTAAGTAATACAGTTTATAAAGTTTAGCCTAACTATTCAGAATGTAAGTAATACAGTTTATAAAGTTTAGCCTAACTATCCATAATGTAAGTAATACAGTTTATAAATCTTAGCTTTACTATCCAAAATGTAAGTAATACAGTTACTGAAGCTTAGCTTTACTATGCAGAATGTAAGTAATACAGTTACTAAAGCTTAGCTTTACTATGCAGAATGTAAGTAATACAGTTTATAAAGTTTAGCTTAACTATCCAGAATGTAAGTAATGCAGTTTATAAACCTTAGCTTTACTATTTAGAATGCAAAACTTTACCTTTCATGTTTTGCCAAATAAATATTAAACCTTTATTGGCAACTATTAGTTTATTTAATAAACCCCATGTGTGTCGATTTTTGTTGGAAGCTTGCTTTAGTGTTTGTATACCTATTTTTTGTAAGTTCTGGAACAGTGGGCAAGTGCCAAAGGATTGGAAGTTAGCTAATGTTACTCCTTTTTTCAAGGAAGGTAATAAAAATTGCTCAAATAATTATAGGCCTATTACTCTTACATCAGTTATGGAAAAAGTTTTGAAAGTTTGATAAAAGATGCTTTGCAAAGTAATTTGACAAAGTTTAGAATTTTATTGGATAGTTAACATGGTTTCACTAAGGGAAAATCTTGCCTTTCAAATCTTTTCACATTCTTTGAAATGTTTACAGTTTATGTAGATTTGGTGTATCTGGATTTTCAAAAAGCATTTGAAAAACTGCCACAAAAAAGGCTTATAAAAAATGATATCTTTAGGTGTGGGGGATAAGTTAGGTAATTGGATAGAAGAGTGGCTTTATGGAAGAAAGCAGAGGGTTGTTACAAATGGAGTTCAGTAAAACTGGATTAAGATTACAAATGCGGTGCCTCAGGGCTCAGTCTTAAGACTTTTGCTCTTTTTGATTTACTTCAATGATATAGATGAAAGAATGGTCAATAAGTTACTTAAATTTACTGCTGATATTGAGCTCTTGGTTGTTGCTAACTGTGAAGATAATGCTGCTGATTTATAAAAGGATTTAGATCATTTAGTGAGTGGGGAAATAAATGGCAGATGGGTTTTAATTATAATAAAAGGAAGATAATGCATGCAGGTCATCATAATTTGGATAGAAATAACCTTAATAATGGCATGAAAGAAAGGGATCTTGGTGTAATAGTTGATCAGTATCTGAAGCCATCCAAGCAGTGTGCTATTGTTAGTAGTAGGGCAAATAGGAGTTTAATTTGTATCTACAGAAATATTGAATACAATTATAAAGAGGTTATACTTTCATTGTATAGGTCACTGTTTAGGCCTCACTTGGAATATTGTGTTTAGTCTTGGGCTCCTTACGTTAGGAAGACTATTGAATTATTGGAAAGGATTCAGTGGAGGGTTACTAAAATGGTGCTTGGGATGGAGGGGTCATCATATGAGGAGAGATTAAGATCTCTGAATTGTTTTTTTCTTGAAAAAAAGAAGAGTTTGTGGGGATCTGATTGAGGTGTTGATGCATCAACTTTTTTCATACTGAATGGCGAGAATAGTAGAACTAGGGAACACAAATATAACTTTTGGCAAGATAGGAGGCATCTTCAGCTAAAACAGTTTTACTTTTCTAACAGCGTTTTTGTCCTATGGAATGGGTTTTTCTTTGGATGTTGTGGAGGCAGTAAATTTAAGAGAAAGCTTGATAAATATATGAATGATAAGGGCTGCCTTTAAGATTTTTAATTAATTTAGTTATTTGATAGTTTTAGTTTAGTTTAGAGGATGGGAGAGCCGAGATGGACAAATAGGTACCTTGTTGTCCTTAAACAATATGTTATTTCACTGTTCTTTAGTACAGATATGTTTCCGACTTCTGATATCACTTGAAATTTTTCAAACTGTATGGTCCTAAGTATCTCCTAATCTGTTGTTTCAGTATATTGGCTGCTTAAAGTATGACATGATATATGATTAAGCTTTCACCACCATGATCAGGTACTTACAGATAAGCTTGTTATTTTTAGATGTATTTTTACATGTAAAGTTTCTAGACATAGTTAAACAACAAATCACAGTTACTACCTGTAACAAGAGACTATAATTTTTACTCATAATGGTAACTTTAGCATCATTTTTATGATTGTGGCTTGAATATCCTTTCCTGTGGTAGTGGTTTTGATACTATCTGTGGTAGTGGTAAATGTAGTGTTTCCTTTGGTGGTTAAATATAATTCTCTCTTTAGTAGTAATTTTGGTATTTCTCTCATCTTCATGAATTTAGCATAACTTCCAACTTAAGTATAATTTTATATGGTAGTTATTTAAGCATTGTTTCATCATTTCTGGTGATGGCTTAAGTATCATTCTCCATCAAAGAGACTTTATATCTTTTCCTAGTGATTACAACGACACCATTCCTTGTTGTGGTAGCTTTAACTTCAGTCTTAATGATGAAGACCAGTGTTTAAATTTTTTATGTTTCAAATATTAAAAATTTTAGATTATTAGTTAAACTTCTTTGTTTTTCACATTTTTAACAGTAATTGTTTTAATTTGTCTCAGCTTTAATCCTGTTATTGAAGGATCCAACCCCAGAGGTTCGGATTAGAGCATCTCAAGCCTTGAGTCTGCTTCATTCATACTGATGTCATAGAACCCTGAGCAGAAGTAGTAACAACTCTGTAAAAAAAAATGTTCCACTTTGAATGTGCCAGTAAAGAAAAGTGTCTTGATCATTCAGAATATAGAAGTGTCAAATCTATAAATTAATATTCATGTAAATGTTGTTGAAAAAGATTTATTACCTACTATGTATTTGCAAAATGTTAAAAGTTTAATTTAGTTCTAGATGTCCAGCTAAGAGTAAATACTGGTTAATTTTTAGTTAGGTTATATGCAACTCACTAGAAAAAAAATTCCTGACCAGATGAAGCAAAATTTAAACTGCTTCATTCTTAATAACCACATATCTTAGTCATGGCATTACTTACTATAAGAATAATTGAATTAATAGTTCCTGCATTAATAACTGTAGCAAATTTAATGATTGTGGATGGTGAGGTTTACACTCGATGCAGTAGTAGTAAGTACTTTATGTACTTATACATTGTGAAGAAATTATGGTAATAGTTGATTATTTGATGCAGGTCTATCATTTTATATTTTACCCAGCACAGTTAGGTTCTCATTGTAATGTTGTTCACAGTTGCTACTAAAACAAGTATATTTTGGTGAAAATTAATAATTGATAGTTATTCAAACTTTATTGAAGACCAGTATATTTCACATAAATAACCCATGTTATGATATAGTAACAAGTTAGTAATGGCTGAAGTACATTATAGTGTAGCTGCTATCCATAGAAAAACTTGGATATTCAGTATTCTAGGATCATTTAACATTGTTTTGGTTTTTAAAGTTAGAGTTTGGAGTGTGATAAACAATAAACATTGGTTTTTGTATTTAATTTTTATTAATTTTCGGATAATTTGTTTGTACTTGTAGTTGCTGCTGTCTTGATACTGTGATAGTTTTAACAATAGTTTGTTTTAATTCAAAGTAAAATTTCATTAAAAACATTCCAAGTGAAATATTTTCAGCATTTCTGGTAGACATGTTTAATTAAAAATGGCAACAAAAAACATTAGGATTTCGCATTAAATTATAGTCTTGATAAACAATGGGAAACTGTGTTGCTCTGTTAATAACTAATTGTAAATATAGAGGCTTTTGTTTTCTTTCAAGTATAAATAGAATTATTCGAGAAAATAAGTTTTTTGTTCAACTGAATTTTGCATGATATTAGATGTGTGCTATTCAGTGAAATCTGAATTGTGTCAGTAGATAATGAACAAAATTATGTGATAGAAAGTTGAAATAGTGAATATATAATATGCAGCAGAAATATGAAGAAAATTATATATATAAGTCTGAAGGAATTAAATATTCATTATGTATGTAATTGTTTGTAGTGCCTAATAGATAACTAACAATATTATATGCATCAGTGAAATGTCTGAAAGAGTAAATAGGTAACAAACAACACTATATAACAGTAAAAAATCATGCCGTTACTAGACACACTACAGAATCATATAAAATAAATGTCAAATATTAATGAAAATACATATTACCAAATGTGTTGGGACACTACCCCCAGTCCATTATGGGCTCATTTCCACAAAATTTGCAGACTTACTTGATGCATTGTTGCAAAGGGTTATTTTAAAGATCACCAGCTGTAACAAACAACCACTTGTCATCAAATCCACTGTACTCAGGAGCTCCATGCTGCTGGATTTCAGGGAGAGATTGCAGATCATAAGCCACTTAACACAACAATTATAAGAATAGAAAATGCCAGTAAATGTGTTTTTATGATACAGAAGTTTAAAAGCCATTAGCTTCATGGTTAACAAGAACGTGCAAAAAGGAAATAGAGTTATTTGTCTCGATTTCATAAGTGAACTGTATAGAGGGGTGTTGTGAATTAAGATAGTCAAGAAAACGTTGGATATGATCAGTATGGTGGCAAATAAGGAAAGTATCATCAACATACCTTCTGAAGAGAACAGGTTTTGAAGCTTATAGGGCAGTTGTTAATCCAGTTCTGTTCGTGGAGACAGAGAAAAACGTTGGCAAGCGTAGGACCCAGTAGGGAATCAATAGCAACTCCATCTATCTGCTCATATAGAATATTGTTAAAGAGGAGAAGAGAGTCTTTAGTGGAGAGTTCAAGCACAGATTTTATGTCAGGTTTAGAAAGTCCATTAACAATAATGTTATTAGAGATTAGACAGTGCAATATTAATGGTTTCTTCCAGGGGAATATTAATAAAATGAGAAGTAATATCGAAGCTAGCCATCGGGTGATTTTTAAGGGGGGGGGTTGTCTGACTGATTTCTCAGGGAAAAGTTGAAGGAGTCAGGGGTTGTGATGATCTCTTTCTTCTTCAAATTCTAACATCACAATTTTTCTTGGTGGCTCTGCAGTTTTAGTTTTACTCTGCTTCTCAGTGTACATACTGACAGCTTTCTTGATAATTTCATCCATCTCTTTTTTTTTTTTTTTTTTTTTTATACAGTCCAGTTTTTGTCATTTGCAACAATGGTAATAATTGACTCCATTCTTTAGGCTTGATTGAAAAGCCAAAATTGCATATTAGTCATTATACTAAATTTATACATCTGTGGTAGAATTTGATCCATTTAATGCAATTAAGGTCTTTGTGAGGGCATATCAATTTCAAAATTTGATTATCTTAAAGCTAATAATCTTCTATTAAAGCTCCTTCAGTTCCACATTTCCCAGCCAAACCTTTACATAAGTTCTTTACATAAGCTTTTTCTATTTATTAAGAACTTTAGTGATTGATAATATTGTCTTAAAGTGAGTGTGCAATTGAGTAAAAGCTTCATTTCTATAGTCCTTTTTGTCAGTCCAGTTCTTCAGGTCAGAAAAACTAGTCATTGCATGTACCCTTTGTCAAAATCTTCAAACCGATCTATCCTTTTAAAGCACAGACAGCTCACTTACCTGTTTTTGTAGCACTTGCCTTCAACCTGTTGTCATTGTTCATATAACTAATCTCTCCAAAGTTGAAACAACCAAACCCTGTTGGTTGCCACAATCAAACCTTCCCCCTTCTTCAAAACTGCCCCTTTTCAAACTCAGAATCTTTAAAAGCAGCTTTTGCAGTAAAGTCGATGCTATAGCTTGAGAAATGTATTTTCAAAATTCAACCTCTTGTGTCCAATATATGTGAGCAGTTCAGATATGTGGCCAAAGTTTACATTAGGGCCATCAGGTGTACAGGAAACAAGCTTTGTTTGATAGTCATCTAAGGGAATGTTGTCCAAGGACACCAAAGTGTTATTGATATCTTGGGCCGAGCATGGCCAAATGATTATGGAGCTTGACTTGCAGTATGAGGGTCGTGGGTTTGAATCCCCGTCCCACCAAACATGCTCGTCCTTTTAGCTGTGGAGGCATTATGATGTGACGGTCAATCCCACTATATGTTGGCTAAAGAGTAGCCCAAGAGTTGGCAGTGGGTGGTGATGACTAGCTGCATTCCCCATAGTCTTTCACTGCCAAATTAGGGATGGCTACTTCAGATAGCCCTCGTGTAACTTTGCGTGAAACTCAAAACAAACCAAACCAACTATTGATATCAGACTTCAGAGAATCTGTATTGGTGCAAAATGAGAAAATATACAAGGACTCCTAGAGGAAATGTAGTTCTCATGTCTCATTTGGTCCAAACAATATAAACTGATTTCAAACGCTATAGGATCCTGATATTTTAAAGCTCCAAAAACAAAAATCAGACGAGCTCAAAAGAACATTGGGTATTAGAAAGTCCAATCTAATACAAAAATTTCTGTTTAACAAAATTCTCTGACAGTTTTTACATGGGTAAATATAAGCTTCCAGTTATTTCGGTCCTGCTTGTGAATATTTTCCTAGAAGCTCTAGCCCTGTTAGTGAGTGTTTAAACAGTGGAAGAAAATTGATTACTAAATATAACCGTAAAGGTATAGTGGACAGTATATAAGAATTTAACTGTTGAAAATAATTTTCTTCCCAATTTCTTTGAAAGGACTGGATAATTTTTTAATTAAATAATTTTCTTTGTTTACATTTTTTGACTTCTTATTTCACCAGCATTCTTTAAAATATATACGTAAGAAAGATCAGCCATTTGTTGAGGTCAGTGAAGACCTGGCACGTTTTGAATCTCATCACCGAACATGCAAGCCCTTTCAGTCGTGGAGGCACTATAAATTGGTGGTCAATTCCACTAGTTGTTGATAAAGTGTAGCCCAAGAGTTCGGGTGGTTGTTTTACCTCTATCTCTTCTAAATTAGGGATGACTAATGGAGATAGCCCTCGAGTAGTTTTGCGCAAAATTTAACAAAAACGAACAAGCCAGTTAAGTTCTTGGAATTTTAAAATTTATTCAGAGATGTTACAATAACTTAACACGAGTAGAAATTTCTTGCCCCCCCCCCCAGTGGCACAGCGGACTTACAACGCTAGAATTCGGGTTTCGATGCCCGTGGTGGGCAGAGCGAAGATAGCCCATTGGGTAGCTTTATGCTTAATTACAAAAAAAAAACATATTTCTTTGTTTCTCTCTTACTGTTTTCCACTACATTTGAGGAAATTTTCCAGTGAAGTGCTAGTATTTTATTATCAGCCCATTTTTGTTTACAGCTTCGTTATTCAGCCTCTTGAAAACAAAGTAAATCCAGTGGTGTAGGAAGCGAGGTGAACCCTGAACCCACACTTTTAAATCTATCCCAGTAAAAATGCATCATAATTAGCAAAATTACTCTCACGAAAAGTTTGATAATGCATAAAATTTAATCCAGAAACCAAGAGCTTCTGTAATAGATGTGCCTCTTGTATACATTCCTTTGCTTCGCTTGATCAAATAAACAGTGGTCCCCCACTTTTAATTTGCCTCCTACACCTTTAAAACCTGTTTCTTTCCAGTTTCGTTTACCGAATATTTTAAAAATGAATACGTATTTTTTACATGGGCCTTGCCATCTGTTTGTACACTTTCTTTATGATATACATGTTTACACATTAAACTATTTTCACAAAAATTGTTAAGACTTGTGAGGTGTGTGCTAACATTAACTACTTAAAGATCTCTGAAACAATTTTTAATGACCTCTGACATTTTACAAACATAATTGGGAGTTCCTATAATATCATGTAA